ACAGTCCGACACCTTGATAGCATGGTTAGACCTGCCAGAGAATACACTCCGCTACCATCGCTGTCGAACATTGAGGCATTGAGGTAGGATTTGCAGCAGATTTGTTATCTAAATGATTTTTTCCTAAAAAACGTTGTCTGAAAAACAACTTTTAAGTTGAAAAATTATTTTGATGAAAAAATTTCAACCAGCTCAGGTGAACCAAATATTCATGGAAAAATTTGTATCTTCCAATTTCTTCTGATTTTTTTTAATGAAAACCAAAACATGGGGAACGCTTTCATTTTAGATCTCCTGCCCTTGTCAGTGGAAAAGTAACGGGGGGAAATGTTCAATTTTTCATTAAGAAAACAAAGAGTTCCAAAAATTTTTGCAAAAATGTTGAAACTCTCAATTATTTTTTAATTTCTAAAACACACATCATTTTTCGAGCACCTCCAGAAAAAAAGAACATAAGGGGAGAAATGAAAAGTGGGGTGGGAATCATAAATAAAAACCCTGCAAACATTTTTCACTTCTGAGTTTCTCCAAAGAAGAAAAAAATTGAAAAATAATGGACAATATAATTATAAAAATTCATTTGGAAAAATTTTAACCAACTCTAATTCTTATCTGGAGGAGTAAGGAAACTGCCAAACTCTGGAGGTTAATCCCAGCACTGAGAAAGAAAGGCAGTGGGAATGTTGAATATCTGCAGCCTTGTCTACACTACAGACTTCTGCTGGCATAGCAGTGTCGGTCTGGAGTGTGAAGATATTTATCTCTGACCGAGACGGCTGTGCTGGCAAAAGCCCCCGGACACAGTTATAGCAGCAAAACTCTGCTTGTGCCCATATAGATTATATAGTTCAGAATGCACTAATGTAACCTACACCCACAAAAGTGCACTGGTACACTGGGATAGCTATACTGACAGTGTGCTGCTAGTGTGGCCATAGTGTAGTTATGCTATGGACAATGGGAGGGAAGTACCTATATTTTCATGACACTAGAGAAATCGTAGGATCAAGTAACTCCCAGCTTCTTTCTTACAGGTTACAGAGGACCTAGCTCGGCGCATTTTTGAGGTGAGCATTCCAAATTTGATTTGCTGTCAGGCTGTCTTATATTCCTGCAGGACCTCTTAGCAAGCCCAAATCCTGAGCCAGTGGTCAGTTGGAACAGTCTGTACAGATGTGGAAGGATTGGGGCAAAAGACAAAGAACGGTTTTCTAAATCCCAAAGGGGAGTGTCAGCAGTGGTGCAGGTAAGTCAGTACAGTCAGGTACACCGAACCATTAAGACATTTTTTGCCGGTACGCTGTATCGGAAAGACACATTTTCAGAACCGGAAGGTTCTCCCAGGAACCACTGTGGTGAAAAGAGCAGAACGTGGGGCCGCTGTACCCGGGCCATCTCCCCTGGGCTCCTAGGCGCAGGGTTGGCCAGGAGGGATCTGTATGCTGCCCCCACCATGAGTGCCAGATCTGCAGCTCCCACTGGCCAGGAACCACGACCAATGGGAGCTGCAGGGGCAGAGCCTGCAGGCGGAGATAGCAGCAGGGCACAGACCCGCCTGCCTTGCTGCGCCTCCTCCTAGGACCCAGAGGAAAATGTCGCTGCTTCCGGTGAGCCGCCCGAGGTAAGCGCCACTAGGATCCTGGACCCGCTTCCACACCCAAACCCCCAGCCCCAGCTTTGAGCCCGAACCTTGCAGCGGGGGCTACAGGTTTTTTTTGGAAAAGCTTCGGCTTTGATTGAAAATCCATTTTTCAACTGAAAACTTATTTAAATTATGAAAAATTTCTATCAGCTTTGGTCAATCAACAATATTTTTTGTTCAAAATGAAGATTTTCATGGGGAAAAAAATTTCTTCCAATCTTTTTTCTGAATTTTTAACACAAAGAATGAAAATTTTAAAAAAGGAAAGAGATTTAGTTTATGATTCAATGCCCTTCCTTTCTTTCCGTTTTCCCTCCCTTAATCAGTGGGAAAGTAAAGGGGGAAATTTTAGTTTTTCTTTAAAAAAATTTTTTGAAAATTTCGCCAAAAAAAATCATTATTCAAAAACATCTACAAGAAAAGGAAATAAGGCATGAAATGAAAAGAAGGGGGTGGGAAGTATAAATGAAAATCCTGCAAACTTTTTTCATTTCTGATTTTGTCCAAAAAGGGAAAAAACTGAAAAACAATCAACAGATTTTTCACAAAAAAATATTTTGAAATTTTTTTTGAGCAGCTCTAATTCTTTTCCTGAGGCATTAGATTCAGAAAGGAAACCCCCAAACTCTGGAAGTGAATCCCAGCACTGAGAAAGAAGGGCAGTGGGAAGGCTGCCCCTCACAGAGCTGTCTGGAGACATGTCTACACTACAGACTTCCCCTGGCATAGCGGTGTCGGTCTGAGGTGTGAAGATGTTCGGTCCCTGGCTGACACAGCTGTGCTGGCAAAAGCTCCTTGTGTAGACAACGTTATAGCAGCAAAACTGTACTTTTCCCTGTATAGATTATTTAGCTCAGAAAGCGCTAGTATAACCTACAGCCACAAAAGTGAATTGGTAAGCTCGGATAGCTATACTGACAAGGTGCTCCTAGTGTGGACATGGTGTGGTTAACCTATAGACAATGAAAGGGAATTTTGATGGTATTGGAGAAAAAGGAGGATCAAGTAATTCCCAGCAATTTCCTTGCAGATTTCTAGGAGACTACGTGCAAGCATTTCTCAGGTGAGTATTCAAATTTGCTTTGTTGCCAGGCGGTCTTATATTACCCAGTGCCGCTTAGCAAGCCTGAACCCCGAGCAAGTGGTCAGCTGGACTAGCCTGAACAGATGTACAAGGATTGGGAAAAAAGAGCAATCAGGTTTTAAATCCCAAATTGGGTGTATCCAGACATTTTTTGCGGTTTCATTTCTCTTATTATACAAGTGGCCAATGTATTCCATTTCTCTGGGCCTGTTCTTTATCACCATTTTAAGAACCACAGCCCAGTGGAGTCACACATACTGGGAGCTGTGATTCGCTGGGAATCCTGTTGTTCTGCACCTCTGGAGCGGGGATAATAGTATCACCACAGACAGTCATATACATAGACTCAGTTACACGAGGGAGCAGCTCCTCAGCAGATGTAAATCATCCTCGCACCACTGAAATCAATACAGTAATGCCAGTTTACACCAGCATAGCATTTGGCCCATGTAAAAGGGGTTCCTAACATGGCAGATAATGAAGCGTGCAAGTGGGGATGTAGGAGATATTTCAGTGGGAGGGAGGGTGGGCAGGAATCACTTGGATGGCTGGGAAATGTCCCACCCCAGGAATTTCCTGTCTCAGCCACTGCCACTATGATGACACCAGCATCATTTCCATGATATTGGAGAAAGAGCAGCATTCATAGATTCATAGATTCATAGATTATAGGACTGGAAGGGACCTCGAGAGGTCATCGAGTCCAGTCCCCTGCCCGCATGGCGGGACCAAATACTGTCTAGACCATCCCTGATAGACATTTATCTAACCTACTCTTAAATATCTCCAGAGACGGAGATTCCACAACCTCCCTACGCAATTTGTTCCAGTGTTTAACCACCCTGACAGTTAGGAACTTTTTCCTAATGTCCAACCTAGACCTCCCTTGCTGCAGTTTAAACCCATTGTTTCTGGTTCTATCCTTAGAGGCTAAGGTGAACAAGTTCTCTCCCTCCTCCTTATGACACCCTTTTAGATACCTGTAAACTGCTATCATGTGCCCTCTCAGTCTTCTCTTCTCCAATGGCTAACAGGGGTCAGGATGGAGACTCTTGCCTATATGCTCGGGGTCTTAC